TCCTCAAAAACAACTTCTTTCCACTCAGGAACATTTAGAGCCTCCTGGATACTGTTAGGAATGGATACACTAGACACTTGTGAAATAAAGGCACAATATGRAGRTGAAATRTTTTTGTRAGATACAAAATTTGAYAGAGGATGTTTTGTACAAGACCTAACACCTTTCCTAAGAGCAATGGAAAGATCAAGCTGACTGGAAGAATTAGAATTACTTGGAGGAATATTTTCAGGAATTTTTGGAGAATTATCATGAATTTTTCATGATCCAACCTCAGATCAGATTCTTGTTGATGCTGCGGAATAGTGCCTCTCCTTTTCTGTGCTAGATATTCCCTTGAATATACAAGGCCTTTATACTGTTTCGCACGCATCTCTGTTGTTTCAGCTTTTTCATTTTGAGATGGCATCACCAAAGGTTGTTCATTTTCAATATTTAATTCATTTGTTTCCACTAATTTTGTATTTTTCTGCCTCACTTTCTTTCGGTGACTGGTTGTGAGGAACATCATTATGGACAACAAATTCAAACATTAAATCAGAACCATCTTCACTAGTGTTGCTCTCCCCCTGAAGATGGGAGTTGCTGTAGTACGAGGTTCCTTCAAAGAATGTGACGTCCATAGTCACAAGCATCCTTTTCAAAACTGGATCAAAGCATTTGTAACCTCTCTGATTAGTGGGATAGCCTACAAAAATACATTTATGTGCTTTTGGATCAAGTTTTGAACGTTTAGGATCATGGTTATGAACAAAGGCCACACTTTAAAAAATTTTTAAGAGAATGTTTGTCACTAGCCGAGAGTTTGGAAAACAGTCAATGAAGACCTGTATGGGTGTTTTAAAATCCAAAATTCGTGTAGGCAGTCTGTTAATCAAATAAGTGGTTGTTAAAACGGCTTCTCCCCAAAGATACTTAGGAACCTTAGTTTTAAAACTTATAGCTCTAACAACTTCAAGGAGATGTTTGTTTTTCCTTTTAGCCACCCCATTTTGTTGAGGTGTATTATTACACGAACTTTGGTGTACAATTCCTTTCTCAGCAAAAAAATTCCCTAACACATTGTTAAAAAATTTCTTTCCATTATCACTTCGAAAAATTTTAATTTGAGTCTGAAATTGTGTTTGAACCATGTTATACAAATTTTTTAACACAGTTTCAGCATCAAATTTCTCTTTTAAAAGGAAAACCCATGTGACCCTAGTATGATCATCAATAAAAGTAATGAACCAACGTTTTCTAGAAAGAGTTGTTACTCTAGAAGGACCCCAAACACCACTGTTAATCATGGTAAATGGTTTTGATTTTTTATACGGTTGAGACTGAAAAACCCAAGTGACCCTAGTATGATCATCAATAAAAGTAATGAACCAACGTTTTCCAGAAAGAGTTGTTASTCTAGAAKGRCCCCAAACATCWCTRTGAATCATGGTAAATGGTTTTGATTTTTTATATGGTTGAGACTGAAAAACAGCACGATGATGTTTTGCTAATTCACAAGATTCACACTTGAAAACTAAATGATTTTTATTCATGAATAACTTGGGAAATAGATGCTTTAAATATTGAAAGCTAGGATGTCCTAACCGATAATGCCATAACAAAACTTCATTGTCACTAGAAACAGAGATAGAACTGAAACAAGTCTGTCGGTCTTGCCTTCCAAAGGTYGATCCTTTATTAAAGAGGTAGAGACCACCATCCTGTTTAGCACCCCCAATCATCTTCCCCGAGGTTAAATCCTGAAATTCACAACCAAAAGACCAAAAATTAACTCGACAATTATGATCAAGGGTTAGTTTGCTGACAGATAAGAGATTGTATGATAGGTTAGGAACATGCAGAACATCTTTGAGGTTTAGAGAAGGAGAAATAGATACAGTTCCTTTCCCAACAACAGTAGCAAAGGAACCATCTGCAATCTTAACCTTTTGATTCCTTGCACAGGGTATATATGAAGAAAAGAATTGCAAGGTGCCGGTCATATGATCAGTGGCACCTGAATCCAATATCCAGGAGCCATTAAATTTGGTACAAGCAATGGCTGCAGTGAAAAAATTACTTGACTGAGCWAGAGAACAGGATGGGTTAGAATTTCTTAACGATTGAGATTGAAACATTTTATATAAGTGCTCTATTTGTTCCTTTGTGAAAGGAAGAGACTCTGAGGATGATTGTTGCCCTGGATCCGATTGCTTACTTAAAGTGCGCGGACATCTCCCCCTGACTTGTTGTCACTGCCTGATTTTTTCTTCCAACCCGCCGGTTTCCTGTGCAACTTCCAGCAGGTTTCCCGAGTATGCCATGGCTTTCTACAATGATCACACCAAGGCCTCTGCTTTCCTCCTCGTTTATCTTCGTCTAAGTCTGCACCTCGGGCCACAAGAGCGGACCCTTCATTCTC